ATCATATAGAATAACTCAGCCCTTTAAAAAGTCCTCAACAGAATGGGAAAAGTGGTGTACACTACGCTACTTTCTGCTAACATAACATAAATTGTAGGTTCACTTTACCTGTCAGTGATGACAATTCATGAGAAATCTCAACTGACTTCTCACTACAGAGTAAACTACATATTGTCTATGATATAGGCAGCAGTGAATGAATGGAAAAGGGACTGATTTTGGGCTTATCTATAGGCTCAAAAACAGATAAGTTGGCTTCTTGGACACTTTTAGTATAATCAGGGAACTCAAACCTGTATCCTAAAAGTTCACGTGACCAGTTCGCATTAGCAAATATATTTTCACTGTCACTCACAATGCATTTTAAAGTTTTGTTGCCATTTCTGCTTTCTTAAATAGAGAGCTTGGAGGCAGGGGAGAGAAAGGGGATGACCTGCACCCAAGGCCCTGGACCGCTATGGTAAGAACTCAGCTTGTATTCTGTCACTGTCAACGTTTTACTGAAACATGAATAAGCATTAAGGTTATATCTTGGCAACTTGAAGCACTTCGTTAAGTCGTCACTTGGAGGCAGGTTAATGTCTAAATTAATAGACATGAAAATACAACTTTCACATTACCAGTAGTCATTTTTTCCATTGTTGATATAAAGATTATTAGGGCAGCTTTAAGGAGCGATTGTGGTCTTGGTTAATGTTAAAGAAAATGTCATCAATGACTAGACGGACAAATGCATTTACATTTTGAGTATTTAACCTAAACCCCAACCTTTGCCAAACCTTACCCATGTCTTATTGGTAATAATCAATAATAATTGATAATTCAATATGATAATTTATCGTTTTTCAATGGAATCCTATCATGATACAGAAATAAGTTGTCTAAATTGATAATAACCACAATTTTGTCAAAGAAATCTATTAGTTAAATGGGAAAATACTCTTCTTTTGTCAAGTGTTTACACAGGGGTGTACAAGACCATGTGGTTAATTCATATAAAATATCTATTGAATTACCAGACAACATGCTATGTTATGTCTTTATCGCGATATGAAAGACCTGTATTGTGATAGATGATCTTTGCCAAGTCCTGGCGTAGCACATAGGATACAAACTTTTGTCTCCGGTTATACTTCTGAAACTAGCCAGTGAACTTAATCCAGGCAGCAATTACGTTTCCTCCAAAATGTAACTGCCAAAGCAAGTTAGTAGTATATATGAAAACATATTTTTCATGAGATAGAGTTGAGGCACCAGCCATTCTGCAGACTCACTATTTCTGTCAATGACCTCACAACGGTTACTTTCCTTTCTCTTGTCTATAATCAATTAATTTGAAATCTATTACGTCAATTCTTGCGGGCATGTCAGACAGATTAAAAGTTCACAATGACCCATCATTGCCAGCAAAGATAAGTCTGCTGCATTGACTGTCAATAACGTGGCAGTCTCCGGGCAGCTTAGTGGGAGCTCTCGTCTCGTCTTCCTTCCTAAGCCTCAGAGGGGGGCTGTGTGGTGAACTGGCAGCCGTAACTCCTTTCATCCATTCTGAGAGAACCGAATAAAGTTCAGAGGAATTACAAGAATCTACCCAGTTAGACTCAGAGTTGCTGGAATAAGCACCATTACTGAATCAGTCTCACAAATGTTTATACAATTGCCAACGTAATGCGGATGAATCAGCAGGGCTGTAGATCGTGTGGGCCGATGACGCCTAACTCAACAGTCACATTCATTCATTTAGATCTACTGCCAGATCCCCGTAGATGTTGTTGGAGAACAGAGTTTCTCTCAAATGTGGATTTTCCCTGCCACATTTCAAACCACTGGGAGAAAAGTTCTCTCATGAGCAGGGTACTAATCCAAACACTACTCCACCATGGCAGTCTCAGTTAGAAACGCTTGTCAGGGTGGTCTGCTTAACAAAACAGAATGTATTTACCCAGAAGATTCAGATTGTGAGAATTTCAAGATGTTGGGGCAGCCATCTGCCAAACGCTTATTTACATTTTGTGGAATAAATACGCCCGTGCCGATTACTTGACAACCGCCAAGGATTTGGTTTGACTCTAAATTGCATGAAAATTAAACCTTCTCTCTCAAAGAAGACGATGTAATGGCCTGCTACTTTTGTGAATTGCCATTAAATCCTGCAAAGCCAACCTGATTTGGATTTAAGAGAGGGAGGAATGCTGACATTAAATATGCTCTTGTGTCTGTTAACCATATAAAAAAAATATTATGGGAGGTTTCAGATGCAGACGACGTTCAGCAGGCGTTCTTTGCATTAACAGCTATTAGGGTGCATGTGGTGCGATACTGTATTAATGGTCTCGCCTACAACCATTCAAATGGGTCTAATTGGATAATTTGTATTAATCCATGAAAATGCTGAATATGAAAAAAACCTTTTTCTCCATTAGTTACAACAGAATGCATGACTTTGAAATATTATACAATTCTGGAAAAAGAATGGCAATTAATCCAGCTTTCCTCTTAAATGACATCATATGTATTTCAATGTTTTAGCTTGCACACTGCCTCTTAGTTGAAAAAGCCCGTAAAACGTTGTTGAGTGATAGTGAGTGACAATGCCACAGTGCACCACAGGAGAACAGCCTTAATACCAACACATTTCGAAGAACCCCCGAAGGCCTGCAGCTAAAAATAAAAACGGGGCTAACTCCCTGATGCAGAACACCTGTCCTACACACTGTTTATTCTGGACTCCCTTTATCACTTGTCCTAAACATTCTTGGAGAAAACAGCCCCTGGTATTAGAACTAAAACCAAAAGGGTGTATTTACCATTTCATCCAAGAAATAAACAACCTCAAACCTTAATGTATAAATCCACTCTTAAATGATTAATGCCCTTTTCATGAGCAAAAGACTGTGTCATAACTATATTCAGCAGAGCTTATTTTTGACAAAAAAACCAAACACACATCCTTGAGCGACAAAGATGGGAATCATAAGCACAAGACAGAGAGAAGGGACAGGCAATGAGCCGACCGGAATTTTTTGACCATCCGCTACGAGGGAAACCAACTCCTGGGGAAAGTGATTAGACTAGGCTCACTGCAGGCAACTTGGTGATTGACTAAAAGAGCTCATTTGCATGCCGCTCTCATCTCCAACAAACTCTCAGGAAGCACAGGTGGATAAGGTCACCAGTGTCAGTCTGCCTTTGTGACAGCCGAGAATGTAAACAGATCAAACGCACAACAGTCGTTTAAGCGAGTGCTGGAGGAGCCGGTGTATTTGATCATCTGGACAATGATGACCTCAAATTTATGTCAGAGATGATCCTGGCATCCTGACATCCAGATATAGAGACATCAGAACAGTCACGTAACCATAACCTTTTAGTCGAGTCGAGGCAACGCTTGAAAATACACGTAGGAACGTTTGGGGATGAGAAATGTTATATTCTATCCATGAGATGAACAGGATCCCTTATGTCTTATTATGGCAGCTAGATAATCTTTGTCTAGAACACAAATAGTACAATTGGACTTTTTTTGTTGACAACACTGGTGAGTAATCAGTTTCACATTTACTCGAAGTAGTTTTATCTATAAATGTAATAATTTAATTGTGTAACAGTAAGTATACAACATATCCTGACAAAGAAATATAGTCAGTATGAAGTGATACATTATGAAAATAATGTAGGCAATGTCAATGCAGTATACTGAATATGAAATTATAACTAAAAAACTAAAATGGACAAAGCATCTTTAACCGCCAACAGTTTATGCAGTCAAATTAAGTACCAGTCTTACCACTTTGACTCCCCCTGTCTCTATTCTGCTCTTTATATTGCCTGTGTTATGTTAATGTTGCGTATTTAGGATAATCTACTGGGCTGATAGAGATCTCACTGTTCGTTTTGATATAAAGCTTCACAGAACGTCACACACGACTGGCGGCCGGCTTCTTTTTCATCCTACAGTGGCATTAAATGTCCCAATGCCATCTGGAGCTGCGAGGATAAAAACTCTCCTTTTAAAGATGCCCGTTTTAATTGGTAAATATTTACTCCAGGAGCTCTCTGCGGGCACGCACACAGCTTTTAATGAAGCACTTTAAAGCCTATGAGCTCCTGCTTTTACTTTGAGTGTGATTCTAAACAAATGGAACCTGGGGTTGAACTGTTGATAATGGTTGATAAGGACCAATTGAACCACAACGCTGAACATTGAGGTAAGCATGTAGTGCATAATAACTGCATCAGTACAATTACCCTGTCACTGTTAATGCCGATCATCCCCCTGTGTGTGTGTGTGTGTGTGTGTGTGTGGTTTGACTGTGTACGTGCACTCATATGTTCAATGTGTGCTCATGAATGTCGGAGTGGTTGGCAAAATCCAATATCACAATATTGTTATGACAGTATGCTGCATATTTATACATTTATTTAAAGAGCAGGACAAAGGAACAATACTTAAATTCTGCAATTGTTTGCGGTGTTTTGCGCGAGTACAAAATGTATCTAGGGAGCGCAAAGAGATTGCAAAAGAAGGTTGATTTCGCATCTATAAAATTGTCTGTGGCTCCATAGAATTTACAAGATATATACACAAGACATTTGTGACATTGTGTTGGGATGAACCTCAGTACTATCCGAAATAGGACACTTCACATTTATTTCAGCTAGACCAGACAGATGAGCTCAGAAATGTGTTGTTATTGTTATTCACTCTCTGTGACCTGTTGCGTATTTGTACCGTACACGTATGTCATCATGTATGCATGTGCATGTATCTTTACACCTGTTTCTCCAAGATTTGTGCATATATGTTGACTTGTGACTGTGCTGCTGCATGTTAGCACTTGTGTCCTAATGCACAAGACCCGGTGTGCAGATTAATCTCTGCTGCAGTGGCAGCGCGTTGCCTTGTATGCACTGCTCTCTATCCCTGACCCAGTCTGCTGTGTGATCCTGCCTACAGCCTCATTTGTCTCCATCACGGGACAGGCGAGGTTACGACTCACCAAAGCGCAGTACGTTTCAGGCGGATCTCCACACGTGATATTTGGGGGGTCGAGGGCCACTCGCAGGTACTTTGTCATGTCGGTGGCTTCTGGCTGACAGGCCATGTAGTCCCACGCCAGGCCCTCCTCTGTATAGATCTGGGACTTGCACACGTCATAGTGTCCCCAGGCCGCCGGGTAATGTTGCATGGCATGTGACACACTGGTGCACACAGCTTGCAGAGTGAACAATACAGGCCAAAGCATCGCTGGTCTCGTTGTGTATGGTTTCTGTAGAAACTTCTTATTTTTGTCTTGACAGCTGCTGCTTCGTCACAAACAGGACAATATCTTCTGAGAATTTTCTAATTTAACTTTGAGAGGTGCAACAGGGCATTTGGGAACTGTGGCAGCATGTTGCTACTTATGTGTGAGCGGCTTCAGGCAACGATTAGCCACCATTCAGTTGTTCTGTAATTGAATGCTGCCACTTCTGCCCGGCCGATGAGGTGTGTCAACAAGGGAGCTTCTTCACAAGTGTTGGGCGTTGGTGAAAGGGTCAACCGACGGTCAGATGTGATGTGCAGAGAGGAGTGACACTCCTCATAAGTCAGTGGCTGTCAGATGTCTTAGCTTGATCTCCTGCCAATTGGTTTTTTTGCAGCATCCTAAAAGACAGGAGAAAAATACAGTTTGGTGAATTAAACAGACCACAGAAAACATTTGAAACACTGTTATTATTACTGTAATACTGACAGATGTTCTACATGGTTGAAAGGCACTGAAGTGGATAAGCAGTGTGTCTCACTACCTACTACTACTCACACCTACATACATAATGTATACACTAACACAAAGCATTCCACTGTTTATATGTATCCCTCAATAATAACCTTGCCAAAATCACTGTATACAATCTAGATCGAGCTTGTTCTGCAAAGCCTAATCTCCATTTGATTTTCATACAAAAAGGCTTATTTCCATGTGTCAGGTCAGAGCATTTAAGTTATCGCTTTTCCCAATTCTCTTGCTCCTTTACAGCCGAATGTGGAGTTGCGGTTGTACCAATGCCTTCAGAGCCATTTGGGAAATATTTAAAGTAAAACTGGGAGACAGAAATGGTCTATTTGAGGGATTGTACGTTTCTCTGAGCTATCGCAAGCCATCAGTCATGGCCTTATTCATCAGGTAATGGAGCCTGGCAGCAGTCAGTGGAGACCCACACGATCTACATGTCTCGGGTATAACGTGTGCGATAGTGGAGGAAATAAAATTGAGCAGCTATATTCAGCTGCCTGCAATAGAGTAATGCCTCTGTAAATAGGAGTTAAGTTACTGTTGACGTTCTTTTGTGAAAATAAGTCTATGTTGCCGTGAGTGAAACATTTACTTACATTTCAATTGAACCTCTTCCCACTGAGGGCACAATTTCAACGAGCATGTAGAGTTATCCTCTTTAAATGCCCATTACAGGTTTGCAATGTCACATCACATTTGTAACGCAGAGTCAGACTTCAAAACATGCCTGGCACAACCAGCTGCTACATGCAGTGGAGCCAGAAACTTTCCAGTGAACAGCTTTACTCTCTGCCCTGCAGGCTAGAGCTGTGACCGACGGTCACTGCTGAAATAAATAGTTTTAGGTAATATGTGGTTTGAAGCATTTTTTTTGTGCAGAGGAAAGTGCTCCTTTTGCATTTGTGTCATGAGATTACAGTTTTTATCACAATATTATCAAGTCAAATCAAATTAATTAACAGAAGGAGATAAAGTTTATCGTGTGAAAGGAGAAAGATCCAGATCAGATTTGGGAAATAAATATTCCTCCTAATGAGTTGGTACGGCTCACACATGCAGGCTGGTTTCTGTGCTCCCTGCTGGCATATGGAGGCATTAGAATTCAGTATTTTAACTTGGCCATCTAGTCTTGGAATGAACATTTTGACCACATCTAAGGCAATTACTGCGTCCCTTCTCCTAACATAATGCCCATTTTACAAAATGACTACAGGCTTGAATACATTCCAGCTGTAATGACAGATGTTCATCTGAGCCAGAAAAAGTGATCTGCGCTGCCATTCAGGCTCGACACACTCTTCAAAGTGAGCCATGTCAGGAGGTATGGAGGGCAGGCTTCATTCGACAGACCTCAGGTGGGACTGAGAGGAAGAAACTGGTTGGAAAAAGCCCTATACACTTTAAACGTGCTCATGCCAATCAAAAAGACTCCGAAGAAAAGGCCAATTCCAAATTTGATAACACAGCTGGCGGTCTGAGTGATGAATAAGCCATTTCTTTCATGGGGATGTGTCTATGTATGGCAAAATGTATACATTTAAATGTGAGTTCTAGATCAGAGACGTGATATGAGATGGACCCTTCCCAACTCCCATGGCCACACACATGCACTCGCACACACCTAGACATACCCTCTTTCATAATACGGAGGTTGACTTTCATTATAAAGACAGTGCAATCAGCTGCCGTGTTGTAGAGGTCGCTTATCTTATTTTTATTTAACGGGGAACATTCACAGCTAATAAACGACAGAAAATGGAGCTGACCACGGGAATATTGGACTTAATCACATGGAGTAATGAAACCTATACAAATGAAAGGAAGGTGACAGGATGCTCAATGCACCTCCGTTGACAGATACCATTCAACATCAGAGCACTACTAAGGTGACAGGAAAGAGAAAATAGCCTGTGATACAAAGTCAGTACTGCACACAATAGATTATTTCTGCATAGAATAGGTAACCATTTAGAATGCTGATTTGTCACCAGAAACTATAGGGGTCAAAATATTTAAAAAAAAAGACGCCAAATCTTTCGTTAAAATTACACAGTAAAAGTATGAATGCAATATACAGCCACATTAGAATCTTCTACCCTGGCTTTCCCTGCCCCAGCATCTATACCGCATACCCAGTGGCACTCGGAATGCAAGGAGAAGCACAGGAATGTCATAATTTCACTGAGAAAAAATATGAAGTCAGATTCTATATTAAATGTCATCAATATTTGAGCAGCTCTCCGTATGCAGGGGGAGAGAGAGAGCCTAGAGCTTAGACCACCTCACCCTCTCTCTCTCCCTCCCTCTCTCTCTTTTCCTTCACTTGTTTTCGAAGCCTCTGAAACACCCCCTTGTGTCCGCTTGCATTCCATCCCCTGGGCAGCTCAAGCATGGCAGAGTGTTTTAAAAGTCAGCAGGCAGCCGTGCCCCGTGGCTTATATTGGTTACAAATTCCCAGCCAGTCTCTTAAAAACCATGGTGGATGTATTCCATTCATTTTATAGTAATCCTGTGTGTGGCTATGCTCTTTCTCCGAGTGTGGCTTTCTGATCGCCTCTTGGCTCCCATACAGGGTAAAGTGGAGGGGAGCTGTCCGTGGTGCTGAAATGCAGGACACAAAAACTGCTCACAAGCTCCACACTGGACGACCAGTGCCTTAAACATTGACCTCGGTGATTTGTAGATGACACTTTTATTGATTTTAGAATAAAAGCAAACCAAAAACATCTGACAGCCTCAACAGTTGCTCCTTCTGTGGTTCATCCTGCAACAATTGCTATTTTGTTTCTGTATCGAGCACCTGGTCAGGGTTTTGGATGTGCACAGATACAATACCGCCTCATTGTGTTCATTGATTTCGCTGACTTCCAACCAGTAACTGCTGATCCACAGCCAGTTTGAGCAGACTGATGCTTTGTGGCTGGCTGATGAGTGCAACAATAAACGGGTTAATGCTTCCAACGCTCTCTGTGCCAAGAACCAACCCTTCAATATGAGTCCCAGTGGGATCAACTGGCAAGCAGAAACATGTCTGTACTGGCATGTATTTGTCTCCTTATTGTCTTTCACGCCTTCATTCTCTCTCTCTATGTGTCTCTCATTCAGTTTCTCAGTCCTGCTTTCTCTCTTCAAACCCTCTCCGTTTCTTTGTCTCTCAACAGCATCCTTGCTGCACTGGATGCGTTCAAACACAAAACATTGCAATTAACGTAGAAGGGCTGCACCTTTAGCCTCTGCAATTGGACTCACTTTTTATTTACAACAAGGAGTGACGCATGCTTTCATGCAAATATCTTTCTCCATGAGTAGATACGGTTGATGTGGAGACAATGTGAGGGTCCCCTCGGTGTGGAGCCCAGCCAGAGAGCCAGTCTGCCTGCACCACTGCCACACATGAAATCTAATGCCATGCATTATTCAAAGTTCTTCTCCTGAACCACCAACATGCAAAAACGCAGTTGCACGTTGCGAACATTTTAAAATCCAGCACATAGCATTCATGCAATCACATAAACAGGACAGGGACCAAGGGAAAAGTCCAATCATTTTACATGTTGTCAGCTCATACGCATTTTACATGAATCCAAAGGAAGCAACCATTTGTCACAACTAAGACAACAGAGTGTGTGCTCAGTATGTTCTGGGTCAGATTTTGCGCAGAGGCGAGGCACACCTATCTGACTTTACTGACTTGCTGCTCAACAGGTTAAAGTCACATTATTAAATGTATTAAACGCCTGAGGATAGTGGGGATACGTTTAGAATAACAACAGCTTTAGATGAGGTGTATACGATGGAAATCCAGATATATAAGCTCATAACAAAGAAAACCACCTCAATACAATCAAACTTTTACAAAGAGGAAAGTGGTGAAGCGCTGTGGAACGTTTATTTTATGTTATGAGCCGCTTATTCCTTATTCATTCAATCCACTTCAAACCTGATAACGGCTAACGTTCCGCCCATGAAACAGCCCACTGTAATTACCCTATAATTGCCCATTTAGTCGCGATTGTCACCATCATACACTAACGGTATGCAACCTGAATGCTTAAAATACACCAATACTCACATTTAAATGCGCTCCAGGGACCAGCTGCTCATTCAACAAGTTATTTACAGCCACGGGTTGTTGCAGAAAGATTTTAATGCAGCTTTGACTGATTCTTCTCTCTCTAAGTCCTTCTAATTTTACTAGATGGATCAATAAAAGAGATTGTATGCGCAGAAAGCGCGCAGTCACATGGAAAGCACAACGTTCTCTTTCTTTCAACTTTTCTTTTAACTTTTACGTCCCACTATTGTAACCCTTCCTTCCAAATAAAGTCCGAGAGACTTGCTCACATTTAGACCTTTTCTTTCGCGCTCACAAACGCCGCCGAGTATCGACTGGTATCCACACAGTCTGTTTGCCTTTACGCAGCGCGGCTCTTGGCGCAGCATTCGTCGGAATGGCGCACGAGAAATACTTCAAATAGCCGTTGAGGGGATTCACAGTCGCAAATTCATTAAAGTCCATCAACGCGCATCAAAACATCCCGTCGGAGAGCAGCTCTTTGAGTTGTTTGGATAGATTTCCTAGCCCAGCTGACTTGTGGACGAGAGAGGAGGGGAGAGATAAGCAATCTTTCTCAAATGGAGCCACTATGTCCAGTTACACATACGACCGCTCCGCCGGGTCCTAAAGATAATAGTGACTTGTTTGTAAATACCAACTTCAATCGATGTTTTACGCGGTTGTTAAATATGAGCAACTGCGCAAAACGTTCAGCCTTCCCCCAGAGTCATTTATTCTAACGGGAGATTCAGCCTCTGGATCTTTATTTCCATTGTGGCGGATATTGTGTTTCAAATGCAACTCGTTGCTAGAAATAAACAAAGCAAGTGATTTTATCTCGCTGTGATGCTTTTGAAAATCCCCGAACATTGACTTTCTCCCTTCTGTTCCTGTGAAGAGAATCATTTTTAAATGCATGATGCTAATCGATTTGTAAATAGAGACACATCTGCAGTGCACTAAAGTGGAGTCTTCTATATAAAGTTGCCTGATTATTACTTAACGACGGGCTGCATCGCTTTTTTTACGGAATTGTCCAACTCAAACAGCTGCAAGCCTAAACGGACTGCTGTTCAAACATTGTCGACTACGGCACACAGTAATACATATAACAACCAGGTATATCACTACCGTACGCCGTGCAAATCAGACCTACGAGTAATGACTTGTATTATCACAATTTAGGAGCCACTAACATGACGGGCGATGCATGTTAGAAATCCACCGAAACTTAAAAGAGGCAAGTCCTCGGGGCAGAAGTAGCTACAACACAATGAGAATTCAGACTAAATTGCAAGAATTGGATCCTCGAAGAAATAATATGAATGGAAATAACTCTACCTGAAAAGGCACAATGATTTGGTTGTTTGTTTAAATAACCGAGGAGAGGTCACAGACACGTATAAATTCCACTCCGACACCACTTCAGCACTCGATGCTTTCGGGAAAAAAAAAGAATCTTACCTTCCATTTATAAGAATGTATCGGATTGAAGCTGCGTTTGCAAAAAGAGGAAAAGGAAAGGTAAAAAAAAAAAACCTCCTCTTACAGGGGTTGGTGTAATTATTCGGCAGAGCTGAGAGAATAACTACAGTTAGGTGCGTCTACCGGGCTCCCTTGGCGAGGAGTCATAGATGTCACCCTCTCCACTACAGGGTGCCAAGCAGCACGGCAAACAGCCGCGGTGACAGGTCGCTCTGAACACGCATTTTAATTGTGGTGGAGATTGCACGATAAGAACAACCGCGCCCATCTGAAGGTCACCACAGTAATTGAGCGGACCGTGTCCCATGTCGGTGCAATAAAGGCTCAACACTACTGAGTTGTAGAACCAGGACTACAGCTCTTATATTCTCCATTCATATATTTAGAGGTGTGTAAAATCAATGTGTTCCTTTAAAGACAGAGCAGACTCAATTTTTCTGTCGTTTGTAGAACAACATAAATGCAAAGTTGCTCCTCTGGAAAGCTTGCAGTTTTCTTACTGTTTTCACTGTATTACTTGCATGCAGGTTCAGTACCCTGGACAGCTCTTGCACCCTGTAGGCAACTTCATCACATACTGGAATGGATTTTTAATGAAGATAGTAACTTATTATTAATTAAAATGATGCTTTAAAGCACTTTTGTAACAGTTGTTTAGTAAAGGAATTTGTGATAATTTCCGTTTTGTATAGTAAAAACTAATTTGGGGATCCAATGGGTCCCTGCCTTCCCTCCATCTTCCTTTTTTCTAGTCATTCAGCTGTCCTTTTTTCCTCCCCTCTTTACATCCATTTCATTTCATAATGTAAGAATAAACCCGTTGGAATGAACCATTTTGTTTTCAATGGGTCTGTTTGACCTTTGTTTCTTTCATTCCATCCCTTCGTTTAAGAAATCAGAATATACAGGTCTAATTTCCAAACCTCTTTTCTTAGCTCTTCATCCCTCTTTCTGCAGAATGTACGCTGAGCAGCTAAGTGTTTAAAATGCCCCAAATAGAACCACAGCCCGTATTGATTTCTGGCAAATTAATATGCAATGAAAGAGCTGTAATCCCATTAAAAAGTGACAAAGCCATTCCTGTTCTGATAAAAGCAGATTTCGGTCGGGACCGGAGCTGAATGACAACAAGTCTCTCATCCCCACTGAGGTAAAGTGGCTCACATTGAATCGGAGGGTTCAGCCTTTGCTTGGAGCGACTGCTGCTCTTGACATTTCCATTAAATCATTCCTCCTGGAAATACTACCATGCCGCCCTGACAGTCACACACATGACTGTGCTCAGTCATGTTGATTATAAGCAGTATAGACAGATTGATGGGTGGATGGATAGATCTGTATATGCCAAATTCTCCAAAAGTGTACATTGACGACATGCTAACATGTTTACAGTGATAATGCTAACATGCTGAGCCTTAGTTTAGTGTGTCAGCATGCGAATATTTGTTAATAAGCATTAAACTGACAATACATCTGAGGCTGATGAGTGTCATTAGTATTGCTGTTATTTGATCATAAACCAAAGTATGACACCAATGAAAATTCTGACCTGATGGTGGCGCTAGATGTAAAGTCTGATGATCATTAAAGCGATTACAACTGCATCGATACCAAATTTCATGGTAATCCTTCCAAATGTTTTTGATAATTTCACTCAAAACCACAAATTGCACAAATCTCATGTTGGCGCTAGAGGAAAAGACAGAGGACCACCAAAGTCAGAGGGAATCATCCTGTGGGGACCTTAAATGCCTGATAAAATGTCCAGGCAATCAATGTAATAGGACCGACTGACTGACTGACTGCCATTGCCGCTCGCTTGCCTAAAAGCAAATGTCCAAAGCCCCAATGTTAAATGAACAATCCACATGAGAAATTCAAACAATCACAATGTTATTGTGGGTTTCTGTGTTTGCTCTCCCTATTTCGATTCCATAAACAGTAGAGCAACAACTATTAGACCACAGTTCATTGAATTTCATGGTTTGCAAACTACAGTGTTGTGCGAATGAAAAATGCTGCAGTAGATGGTTCTCCTCACTCCCCCGCAGCCCCCACGGGTCAAAGGCTGCAGGGTCATCTGAATGAATCCACAAAGCCTGCTTGAAATCACATCAGAGAGTCAGGAGTTCCTCCATAGCTGTTCCATGGGTTTTTTCAGCAGCGTGCTACGGTGCACCATGAGGATACAGAGGTGGAGTCTGCCCTCTCACCCTCTGCGTGTCCTCTCCCTCGGTGCCACCGAGAGCTCGCGCTGACAGAGATGGAGGGTATGCTGTTTGATTCAGCTCTCGGGGGTCTATTGATAGTTTCAAAGTGGAGTCCACCTGCCACTGCTTTAATCATCCGTGACCCCAGCTGCGTGTAGGAAGACCGCAGAGGGGGACGGAATCAGCCGCCCCGTGCATGCGTTTGTGTATGAGCAGTCAAGAGAAAGAGAAAAAGCAGAAGGAGAGACAGAGAGAGGACGAAGAGACTTAAAGACATAAGATGGGGAGAACGAATGAGTCTGTCCAGCTGCTTTTCAACCCCGTTGTCATCATGTGTGGGTTGAGATTTTCCCTACGCGTTACAAGTTGGAATAACACTATTTTCATTCCAACCAGCTCCAGGTTTCTTTTTTTCTTCTTCTCATGAAGCTTTTCTATCTGGTTTAAATGTATTATTAGTATATTCAATCAGATTTTTCTCCAGAGGTGGAGCGGAGTGAATCAGCATGCAGGCACAACTTATGGCTGCCAAATTAATTCAATTTATTCCAAAGCCTTTCTTACGGCCAAGGTTGTAATTATGGCATGCAATTAGAGGGGGTATAAATATTAGATAACTTTCCAATTCCCAGTGAAAGTTAACCCCCAATTTCTTTTTTTTTTATTTTCAGGTACGGGTGATTCACATAAAGATCTTAGAGTGCTCCAGGCTTTAATTAAAGCAAAATGCAAATACCGATGACAAACATCACTCATGAATTGTAGAAATTGTGTGAGAAGGCTGTTATAACGGTTTACCTTTGCTGATTGCGTCGCCAGAAGTCTACCGATAATTGGCATGAAACTTCACCTTTAAAGTGACAAGTCAAGCAACTGTGTGGTGGCATATGACAGTGTATCTTTTCTCCAAGGGAGACATAGTTGTGAATTCGAGTTGGTTGTTACCACACATAAAAGTCTCTGTGTACAAGGAATGTGTGACATTCTTCTGGAGAGTATGCCAGAGCCACTGCAGTGCAGCTTAGAAGAGGAAGTGATCAGGCCAAGGAAGGAGGTGGGAGAGTCAAAAAACACTCTTTGGAATTAGTTCAAGCACTGCAATGGGTCCCTGTGTGTGTGTGTGTGTGTGTGTGTGTGTGTGTGTGTGTGTGTGTGTGTGTGCTGGAGAAATTAATGCTGATTCGAGACACTAAGCATAAAATGTATTCATTAAGTTTGTTTGTAAACATCCTTATTTACTTCCATGGTGAAATGATAAAACGTACTGCAATTAATTCTCCGTCTTTGTATCTTTACTTCTATTAGTTACCAGTACGATGAGCTAACTGTGTTACCACAACACAATTCTACCAAACGGGGCTCACATAGCTGTTACAAAATAACCTATAAATCAAATATTGTACTGTACTGACTTTTCAGCTTTCATCTAGTGTTGAAATCAGAATCTATAAAGCTCAGTGCAATACACAATGGCATTCAGCTGAATGAAAATGACATTCTTGTGTATTACAGTAAGCAGTTGGTGTCAACAGAAAAAGTAGAACGAAACAGATATTGTATAAAAAGAAACATGTCCAATGTTGACTGCCACGGTGGAAAAACCTCTAAACATTTTGACCAGCTCACACAATGACGAAACAATTTTTTCACTTTGGTGGCATTGGCCAATTAACTGACACAATAACTAAGTTCTGAAGCATGAATAAAATGTTCTGGGTGAGTTACTACCTTTTGCAGACATGCAATAGAGTTGTGATGTGCCGTGAAACAATTGTGACAATTGCACTTATACGGTTTAGAGAATGCAGAGTCTGTTTCAAACAAAGTGAAAAAAAGATGTCACGATAGTACTTTGATGTACCTTTGAGCCTGA